GTCCCGTTACCGTGCCGACGGCCCGTTTCACCTTGTTCTTCGCTCCCGTGTTCCACCTCCTCCTGTCCTTCCACATCCTCCTGAGTCGTCCCTCACTGTGTTTCACGGCCCGTTGTCCGACTACCTCCGTGCCTCTCGTCCTGTCGTCTCCCGTGTATTGTCCGCGTTGGTCACGCACCCGACTGCACCTCTGTCGTCCGTCTCGGCACTTGTTACCACTGTCGCTGGCTTTGCCTCTTCCCACCGCCTTGACTACGCCGCTCACTTGGTGAGTGGCCCTGCTCGTTCTCCGTTCTCTGGGGGTGCTCAAGTTTTTCCCCTGGATGTCCTCGAGGAGAGGCAGTTCGAGCTTGGTTTCCTTGCGGCCACTGTTCCTCATCTCTGCGCCATGCTGCTTGCCCCTGAGGGGGATCCAGACGCCCTTGACATCCCGATCCCTCGCAATCACGCTGAGGCGGTCTCAGGACCCTGGGCTTCGTACTGGATAGCAGCTGAGGAGGCAGAGATGGCATCTTATAGGTCCACAGGCACCTACGTTGACGCCGTCCCACCACCTGGGGCGAACGTTGTCAGTGGCATGTGGCTCTACAAGGTGAAGCGGCCGCCTGGAGCACCACCGGTTTTCAAGGCGCGCTACGTGGCGAGAGGCTTCAGTCAGCGAGAGGGGGTGGACTTCTTCCAGACCTTCGCTCTCACCCCGAAGATGACCACTCTTCGGGTGTTGCTGCATATTGCAGCACAGCGCGACTACGAGTTGCACTCCTTGGACTTCTCCACTGCGTTTCTTCAGGGGAGCCTGCACGAGCAGATCTGGCTGCGTCGTCCGCCTGGCTTCACCGGCTCTTTCCCTCCTGGGACCCAGTGGCAGCTGCGTCGACCGGTCTACGGCCTGCGCCAGGCTCCCCGCGAGTGCCACGACACGCTACCTACGACTCTTGCAGCGCTTGACTTCTTTCCGTCGCCTGCCGACCCGTCGCTGTTCGTCCGCCGTGGCTCGACCCCGTTCTTTGTTCTGGTCTACGTTGACGACCTGGTCTTCGCCACTCCCGACCGACGCGCACTGGCCTCCGTGAAGGAGGAACTGCAGAGGAGACACACTTGCACTGACCTTGGTGAGCTGCAGCGCTACCTTGGCCTGCAGATCACCAGGGACAGGGCAGCTCGCACCATTACACTGACGCAGTCGCATATGGTCGAGCAGATCCTCACGCGGTTTCGCTTCCCGTTCTCCAAGGTACAGCCCACCCCTCTTGCTGTGGATCATGGGCTCACGGCTCCACCTTCGGACGAGCCATTTGAGTCCAGCGGTCCATATCCTGAGCTGGTAGGTTGTCTCATGTACCTGATGACCTGTACTCGCCCAGACCTAGCTTACCCTCTTAGCGTACTTGCGCGCTTTGTTGCGCTTGGGAGACACCGACCTTCCCACTGGTACGCCGCTAAGAGGGTGGCGAAGTATGTGGCGAGTACATCAGGCATGGGACTTGTCCTTGGAGGGAAGCAGCCAGTTACACTTACAGGTTACTCGGACTCGTCGTGGGCCGACGACGCAGAGTCGCTACGGTCTACACAGGGTTACTGCTTCAGTCTTGGGACCGGAGCTGTTTCGTGGAGGTCGACTCGGGCGTCGTCAGTCTCTAGTTCTAGCTGTGAAGCAGAGGTGTACGCTGCGGCCATGGCTGCCCAGGAGCTTCGCTGGCTGTCTTTCCTCCTCACCGACCTCGGTGAGCGGCCTCGCTCTCCCCCAGTCTTGTTCGCCGACAACAGGTCTGCTGTCCTGTTGTGCGAGGAGCCCCGACTGGTTGGGAAGGCGAAGCACATCCAGCTTCGTTACTTCCTTCTCCGCGAGTTTCAGCAGCGTGGCCAGGCCCGCGTGGTACGTGTGGTCTCTGAGGCCAACACTGCAGATATCTTCACCAAGGCGTTGCCGCCTTGTGCCCACCAGCGCTTCTGCACCCAGCTAGGCCTTGTGTCTACAGGCCCTCACTTGCTTGCGTAGAGATGCTTTGTCTTGTACTCTTGTATCTCTTCCTATATATCTATATCGATGCATGTGGACTGGCCTTGTGGCCCCTTGTTTGCCCTCAGAATGTGTGGTGACGTTGTGATCCACCCTGAGTTGCATCCCTTGCTTGATTCTTGTTGTTGCAGACCAGTCTTGTGACCTTTCCTTGCTCTTGCTGACAGGTCATATGACCCTTGCTCTCATATTCTGTGGTGACTTCGTCATCCGCCCTGAGATATGTGTTACTTTCCGCAGGACTACCGTCACCTAGACTATGGGGGTGTGTCAAACTATATTTGTTATAGTTTATGTGTGTTAGTCTAGGTGTGTTATATTCATGCTTGGGTTAGGGTTAGCATTTCCTAAATCTTTCTTGTTTTGTCATTCCTTCAATTCATTACGTTTTATATTCAAACACCCGCTACCACCACCGCTAGCGCCACCCCCACCTCCCTTACCCCCCTTGCCCTTGCCGTTGCGGCGCCTATCACTAGGAGCAGACGCAGCGCCGACTTCCTCAGCACCAAGGAGGTCGACAGCAGCAGCAGTGGCAACTGAGGGTATGAGAGGGGAGGGAGCACGCCCTTCAAAGAAGGGGGAGCGGGGAGTGGCACGAGAAGCAGCGACAGCGACAGTACTGGTCTCAGCCTCGAGAAGGTACTTCTCCAGCAAGGCAAGCGTGAGCTCAGTGGGGTCAAGGGCGAGCAATTGGTCCCTAACTGTGCGGAGGGAGTCCGGGAGGCGGGTGACAAGGAAGTACAGGGTGATATAAAGCGGGGGGGGGGTCTCTTTGAGGAAGGCCGGCTTGAGAGCGGCTCGGTAGCGAGTCTCACTGGAGCGAAGGTGGGTCATGAGATCAGCAACAGTGCGGAAATCTGCGAGCTCAGGAAAGAGGTACGGCAGAATGAGGCGGCCTAGGGCAGCAGTAGCTGGGGAGGAGTAACGAGCGACAACTGCGTCATAGAGGTCTTTGGTTGTCTTCTGCTGGCCAAAATGGGCTCTCTCAGCTAGCGGAAGGTGATTGCGGACACCAAGGCGGGCAGTAGCGTTACGTGTGAGCCGCTTCAACTGATCTAAGCGGTCGGCTGTAGCAGGTGGGGCGAGGAGGGATCCGGACGCATGTTCTATCAATGAAACTCCATCCCTAGCCTCGCTCTGCAGGAACAGCTGGAGATCGTCGAGCCAAACGTCAAAGCTAATCGGGCGACCCTCCGCATCAAAGCTAAGAACCGAGATGGTGGCCATAGTAGCAGGAGCAGCAGCAACAGCAGTGGTTCCAGCAGTAGCAGTAGCAGCAGCAGCAGCAGCAGCAGCAGCAGCAGCAGCAGCAGCAGCAGCAGCAGCAGCAGCAGCAGCAGCAGCAGCAGCAGCAGCAGCAGCATCAGCAGCAGCAGCAGCAGCACGGCAGCAGCAGCAGCAGCAGCAGTAGGGCAGTGCGGCTCGGTAGGGGCAGGGCAGCGCGGCTCGGTCAGGGCGGCGCGGCTCGGGCAGGGCGGCGCGGCTCGGGCAGGGCGGCGCGGCTCGGACAGGGCGGCGCGGCTCGGGCAGGGGGGCGCGGCGTGGCTCGGCAGGGCACAGTGCAGCAGCGCGTGCGGCAGCAGCAGCTCAGGCGCAGCAGCAGCAGCAGCTCAGCGCGGTTGGTAGCAGCTGCGCAGCAGCAGCAGCGTCGGCAGCAGCTGCGCGTGCGGCAGCAGCAGCTCAGGCGCAATAGCGCAACAGCAGCAGCGCGGTTGGCAGCAGCTGCGCAGTAGCAGCAGCGTACGCAGCAGCAGGAGCAGCGCGCGCGGGTAGGGGCGCTCGCGGGCAGGCAGCACGCGCTCAGGCAGGGGGCTCGCGCGGGTAGCAGCGCGGGCAGGCAGCGCGTGTGCGCAGGCAGCGCTCGCGGGCAAGCAGCGCTCGCAGGCAGGCAGCGCTTGCGCGGGCAAGGCAGCGCGCGCGGGCGACAGGCAGCGCGCTAGCGGGCAGGAAACGCGCGTGCAGCAGGCAGCACGTTAGGGCAGGCAGCGCGCGTGGCAGCAGGGCAGCGCGACGCTGTACGGGCAGGGCAAGGCAGCGCAAGGGCGCTCCGGGCAGGTTCTAGCGGATCGATTTGGTGGGCCCTAAAAAATCTAACCGTGTTCTTGCTCTGAAACCATGTCGAGAGAACGGTGCAGGAATGATGAATGACTAGCAACAGGGAGATACAAGTATGAAACCCTAACTGGGGTTGTACTCTATACTGAGCACCTCACTGTAGCCTAGCAGAACTAAGAACTGTTTTGGCAATGTTTGCCTACGGCATACCATGTTGCGCGTGGCGCGAAGTGGCGGGAACACGTAAATGAATATATATATATATATATTTTGTTTCAAAACATTTGAAACACCATCATTGTGAGTGTTAAGGGGGGGGGCGTAGCTTGTTAGCCGAGGGAAATGGTTTGTAACAGGGAAACCAGCTTTTCAAATTTCAAAAGTTTTGAAACTCCCTTAAAAAATGTATACTTAGGGAATTGCGAAGCATGTACTTCCTGAAATGCTTTTACCGGGGAACTTATGGTGAGCCTGTAGAGGAGGCAGTCAATCACCTCAACCGTGGCTGTTCGTCGGAACATGTCATTCCACGTCGATGCCACGTCACAGCGTCGAGCTTGTGCCTGGCGACCACTTTTCCAACTCTCAGCACTACTTCTTACAGGGGCACTCAGTAGCGGCAGCCAAAACTCACTTGTTCCATGCAACCGTCACTTGGCTCGCGCTGCTGCAAGCAGCAGTCTGGGCAAGTGACCACAAATGTCTGCTGCCATCGACCTCCATTCTATACAGCTTTGATTTGAATTGCTCTCCTCCCTTACCCCCGGCACAGAGAGCAGAGAGCAGAGAGAGCAGGTCAAAGGCTGGTCGTTACCGCCCCACGACTAGCCCACGCCCCCGCCACCTCACTCCGCGTACCAGCTAGAGCACCCACCACCATCAGCACACACCGCGCAGCAACAAAGCACCGACGGGCGCCATGATGGCAGTCGCTGTGCGCGCTTCGCGGAGAGGAGCCGCGGAGGTCCCAAGGCGGCTGCTGCCATCGCATCGCCATGCGACAGCTGCCGTGTCGGCGGCCTTAGCGCTTTTGCCCACAGCTCCTGGCCGCCCGTTCTTCTCGCTCCCCGCCTGCCCCACCCAATCAACGTCCGCCATCTGTCCTTCAGCCGCGTCGCCTTCAGCCGCCGCGTCCCCCGCCGTGCCGTCCAGCCCCGCCAGCCCCGCCAGTTCCGCCAGGCGCGTGCCGTTCTCCCCCGTCCCCCGCGTGGCCGCGATTGGCGGCGACGTGGACGTGCACGGCGCGGCGTTCCGACTGCGAGAGAAGGCGATGGAGCGATTGCTGGGCGAGCTGCGACAGGCGACGGACACGGTACGTCGCTCAGCAGTCAGGCGACACGCACGGTACGTCGCTCAGCAGTCAGGCGACACGCACTGTACGTCGCACACACATAGCTGCGAGGGCAGGGGAGGGTGGGCGTGGCAAGGGCGGGCAATTGGGCGGAGGTGGGAAGATGCAAGCGGGTGGTGGTGGTGGAGTGAGGCGTACTTAGATAGACTGAGTGATAGTGCCTGTGAATCTCGCCGCCCTCCCTCACTCTCATGCCACGCCCATGCACCCTTCCTGCTGCCCCACCCGGCCGCCCACCAGGTGCTACAGGGGGGTGGTCCCAAGGCAGTGCAGCGGCAGCACAGCCGCGGCAAGCTGCTGCCACGCGAGCGAATCGACCGCCTGCTCGACCCCGCCTCGCCCTTCCTCGAACTCTCCCAGGTCCCTCCGCGCTCCCACTCGCACTCCCCCTTTCCCCCTTCGCACTTGCACCCCCCTCCCTCCTCTGTCCATCATCCCTGCCCGTTCACCTCTTCACTCCACAAGGCTAGGCCTCACTCCATCTCCCCATATCTCCTCCTCAACATCCCCACCTCTCCCCCACTCTCTGCGCCCACCACTCCCCACCTCGGCCTCACACCTCTTCCCATCACGTACAGCTGGCGGGCATGGGCATGTATGGAGAGGAGGAGGTGCCGGGGGGGGGCATCGTGACAGGGCTAGGGCGCGTGGGCGGGCGGGTGAGTGTTATAGTGGCGAACGACGCTACAGTGAAGGGCGGCACGTACTACCCCATCACAGTCAAGAAGCACCTCAGGGCGCAGGAGATCGCTGCTCAGTGCCGCCTGCCCTGCATCTACCTCGTTGACAGGTACAGCCTGCCCTGCATCTACCTCGTTGACAGGTACAGCCTGCTCCAAATTTTCCAGAATCGTTTCCCAGTTGTCCTATTCAATTCCACTTATGCAATTGGCGCCATCTAGTGTGCATTTTCTCACGCTGTAATGCACTGTAGGAATCCTCTCTTCTGATCAATAGGTTGGTAACTAAATGATTGAAATATTGAAACATAGACACCACTGATGCAAAAAACATAGACAGCTCTGACATGAAATCCGAAGAAAATCGGATTGATTTGTGAGCGCTCTCTTCACAAGAATCTACGACATCCATTGAAGAACTTTCAGGGTTGTCTATCAATTTGCTCTTTAGGGCAAACATCGGTGACGTATTACTGTATGTATGTCACACTCACTTTGAGAGCAAGGGATGCAGTGCTAGTTAGGCTGTAACAGTTGTTTTCCTTTTAATTTGGCCCTAGTAGACGTTAACCAACTTTTTTCACAACTCTCCATCTAGATTTCTAGGCTTGATTCACATTGTTTTCCCACCATCGTGCCACTCACCTGAACCCACCCATGGCATGGGCAGTGGAGGCGCCAACCTGCCACGGCAGGCGCATGTGTTTCCCGACCGCGACCACTTCGGGCGCATCTTCTTCAACCAGGTGCCGCAACCCCTTCCTTCCATGCTCTGCCCACCCTCTTATCTCCTGCACCACGGTGCGTGTATTGCACGTGTAGCCCCTCGCTCACAGTGCGTGTATTGCACGTGTAGCCCCTCGCTCACAGTGCGTGTATTGCACGTGTAGCCCCTCGCTCACAGTGCGTGTATTGCACGTGTAGCCCCTCGCTCCTCCATCCACTCTCCCTCCCTTTAACCACATCTCGCCCCAAACAGCACCCCGCCTTCCACACTTCCACGCTCTCCCCTCGCCACCCATCGTCCCGCCACTCTCCCTCCCATTCCCGCAGGTGCCGGCACCATGCCCGTGCCCACCATGCACATGCAACGCCCCTATCTTTAACCCCATCTCACCCCAGTCATCCAATGCTTTTCCCTCTCCTTCATGCTCCAAGCGCCCCCCCCTTTCGTCCGAGCCCTCCTTTGCGCCCCCCTCCAGGCGCGCATGTCACGGGACGGCATACCGCAGATCGCAGTGGTGATGGGCAGCTGCACGGCAGGGGGCGCGTATGTGCCGGCCATGGCGGACGAGAGCATCATCGTGCACCGCCAGGGCACCATCTTCCTGGGGGGGCCGCCGCTTGTCAAGGTGCGCCTCTCTCTGCCCCTGGGTCTGCCGTACAGCTACCAAGCTGTCTATGAGCTGTACGATCGGGCAAAGGCAGCTGGAACAGTCATGCATATGCGATAACAGACTGTCAACGAAGGGTTCTGGTCCATTCTGGTGAGCAGCAGACACATGAGGGTAGACGAAAGGCAAAATATTGAAGTGATACAGAAGGCCTGGCTGGGCTGGCTGGGCTGACTGCATCCCAATGGCATCATGGGAGCTCCCGTTCATTTGTGCGTACTAGTGTATGTGTGTCGGTATGTGTGCTTGCATGCATGCATGCGTGCGTGCATGCGTGTGCGCCATCTGTTGCAGGCGGCCACGGGGGAGGAGGTGACAGCAGAGGCGTTGGGGGGAGGTGCGGTGCACAGCAGAGTGTCGGGGGTGACGGACCACCTGGCCCGCGGTGAGTGACAGCTGCTTGGGCACTGGCGAGCAGGGCAGGGCGGGGTGAGGAGAAGGGAGGTGGGCACATGCAGGCGGACACAAAGATGCACATTCTGTCATGTCACACTGAGCTGCTCGTGGCCCCATACCACGTGCACACCTGCATGCCTCACCCCACAAGATCTAAAGGTATCCATCTCGACCCCCCCTCCTCCCCCTTCCCCCAGACGAGCTGCACGCCCTGGCCATCGCCAGGCGCATTCTCGCCTCGCTGCCCTCCTCCCACCCCGCCTTGTCCGCCGCCTCACCAGCGCCCCTCTCCCCCCGTGCGTGGGAGGAGCCGCTCTTCCCTGCGGAGCAGCTCAGGGGGCTGGCGCCCATAGTGGGGGGGGAGGGGCGCAAGGGGGAGGGCGAGGGGGGGGAGGAGGAGGGGGCGGCGGAGGCGAGGGGGGTGGACATGCGGGAGGTGATAGCGCGGATGGTGGATGGCAGCCAGTTCGACGAGTTCAAGCGCCTCTATGGCTCCGTGGGTCCATGCTCGCTTTGCAGACAGTGTGCTGTTGCATGGGCATACCTGTGCACATGCAGCCATCCTCCAAATGTTAAATGCTCGATGAAAAACATTTTAAAGGATGGTTGCATTGCTTCTCCAAATGTTTCTCTTTAACTTAACGGTTCTCCAACCCCCCTCCCCACCCTCCCCTCTGGGTCCCTCCCATTTCCCCTGTGGCGGGCGGCAGTCACTGGTGTGTGGGTTTGCGCGCGTGCAGGGGAGGGAGGTGGGGGTGGTGGCGAACAACGGCGTGCTGGTGGTGGACGCGGCGCTCAAGGCCGCCCACTTCGTGCAGCTCTGTGACCACCGCCGCATACCACTGCTCTTCCTTCACAACATCTCGGGGTTCATGGTGAGGCGTGGTGCATGCACATCGCACATTGCACATATCCCGTACGAGTCCATGTGGCATGTGAGTCCACGTGGCATGTGAGTCCACGTGGCATGTGAGTCCACGTGTCACGAGAGTTAGCACCACTTGGCATGTCTGCATGCATGTATGGCACCCTTACATAGACCCATTTCTCTCGTCTCCTCTGTGTGTGCAGGTGGGGCGGGCAGCAGAGAGTGCGGGCATAGCCAAGGCAGGAGCCAAGATGGTCATGGCTGTCGCATGTGCACAGGTATGCCATGCCATGTGCCATGGCCGCAACATGCCATGTCCATGCATGTTTCCACAGTTGTGCATCAACATGTCCCACAAGCGACTGGGAGAACCACAGCAGAGAGCCCCTCACATCTTCCATCATCTCTCACATCGTCCCTCCACCACCCACCCACCCTCCATCTCCGTTCATCCCATCTGCCACCCCCGCCCACCGTGCGCAGGTGCCCAAGATATCGCTGGTGGTGGGCGGCAGCTTTGGGGCGGGCAACTACGGCATGTGTGGCCGCGCCTACTCGCCCAACTTCCTCTTCCTCTGGCCCTCCGCGCGCATCTCAGTCATGGGCGGCCAACAGGTCAGTCTGGGCGGCCAGCAGGTGGGTCTGGGCGGCCAGCAGGTGAGTCTGGGCGGCCAGCAGGTGAGTCTGGGCGGCCAGCAGGTGAAGAGGGGTTGTCGGCAGGTGAATCTGCGCGGGGATTAGATGGTGTTGGGCAGCCAACAGGCGTACAGATTGAGGCTATCCGTGGCGCCATGGCAGGCTGAAAGCGCCACGTGCATCTGTTCTCCGCTCTGAGTGACTCCTTTCTCCTTCTGAACCACTCTTCTCCCTCACATGTCCCCTTGTGTGCCATGCCATTCTTCATTTCACATCCCATGTACTGGCATCCCATTGTTCAACGGCATGGTGCAAGCACAGGCGGCAGGGGTGTTGGCGCAAGTGGAGAAGGACAAGCGAGCACGAGATGGCACTCCGGTCAGACCTCCGCTCCTCCCATGCCCCATGCACTCATGCACGCATGCACCCATGCACGCATGCACCCATGCACCCATGCACCCATGCACCCATGCACGCATGCACCCATGCACGCATGCACCCATGCCCCCATGCCCTCATGCCCACTTCCGTCCATGCCATGGGACCAAACTCAAAATTCACCCAATCTCTCATAACTCGGTCTGACATACCCTCTGCTGGCTGTGCCCTCTGCCCTCTCTGCCTTGTACCATGCACCGCAGTGGGGCGAGGAGGAGCAGCGGGCATTCAAGCAGGGCATAGCGCAGCGGTACGACAGCGAGGGGTCGGCATTCTTCTCCACGGCGCGCCTGTGGGATGACGGCATCATCGACCCCGCCCACTCCCGCACCGTGCTCTCCCTCGCCCTCGCTGCCACCGAAGCTGGCATGCCCGCTGCACACGCGCCTGCGGAGACTGGTCCCAGATATGGAGTGTTTCGGATGTGACGTGATGTGCACATGGGTGCGCACGGTGTGGTGGCAAGTGGCTTGCTGCTTTGTTGTCTTCAAGCGTGCTCTTGAAGGTGATGCGGATTGTTGTGGCTCAGTAGCGAGGTTGCCACAGCTGGGTGTATCCCGTTACAGTGCGTATGATTCAGAACCTTGTGTATATAGGTATGTATCTGTGTATATAGTGTTTAATTATCTTTACTGTCCATACATGAACCTGCTTTCCATTTACACAGCTGCTACCAAGCATGTGCTGGAAGTGTACTGATGACACTCTCTACAACAGGTTCCGATTTCATACAGGGGTATTACATTGCTTTTTGCCTTAGGGTGATGTAAATCTGACTTAATGATTTGGCTTGCCATTGCCATTGCCAGAGTCACACAACCTGCTCCAACAACAAGACATCCATCGTATAAACAACACATAACAGCAACATCAGCCTACATACTCAGTACATAACATACCCATCCTCCAATCAATACATACAGAGAACCTCCTATTAACCCACTCCACTTTGACGGTGAGGTATTCACGGCACCTGCCCTATCTCTGCCCACCTTGCCTCCTTTCACGTGCCCTTGTCTCAGTCAGTCATCAGTAAAACACTCAGGTTTCTACGTTGTGTGCCATTCGCTCCTTACCGTACCGCCATCACATCAGCCTCTCAGCGCCCTGCTGCACTGCACCCCTCCTTGCCTGCCACCACCAGTGCACGCAGCACACAGGTCAGTCAGTGCCAGCCTGATAGCCTTTGCCAAAATTCAGGAAATAACTTGCCCTGCCTTAGCTACAACCATCCATCCCCCTCTGACGTTTCACCAAAGCCCTATCTACCAAAGCCCTTGCACCCACCCAACTCTCCTCCCCTCACTCAGCAGCAGCCGGGCTGGGGGCACCCCGCAGGCAGGGGCAGGCGCAGGTTGCCAGAGGTGCGGAAGGTGCGAGGAACCATCCTGTCGACGTATAAGGGGGTGTGGGGCATGTTGAGGGATGGGCGGGTTGGGATGTGAGGGCAGAAGGGTGATGACAGCAGCATTCCACACTTGTTCACAGGGCCGTGAGATTCATACCGAAGAAGCGCAAGACAGAGAGACAGGAGTCAGGTAGCTGACTGACCGTCGCGATGTATTCAGATCGAAGAGCCAGCATCAGACAATCCGCATTGTTCAAAGTTACATCGCATTGCTCCCTTTACAAGAGCAAAAGGCATGGCACTGCACTGACCTGCAGGATCCGGGCCTGCCAGCCAGTGGCGTGCACCGTGATGGGCTTGCCATCCCTCGCCAGCCCTGTCACCTCCACCTCTCTGTACCGCTCCACCATGGCCCGGTACCCATTCACACTGCCGCGCACACCAAGGAGGGGGGACAGGCGTAGAGGAAAGGGGCCGTGGGGAGATGGGTGAGACTTGAGTTGGTGACGGCATTGAGGCGCCCGTGCCATGCCGATTGCACTGCAGCAGCAGCTGCAGCTGCAGCAGAGGGAGAGGTGAGCGGAGTGAGGGGTTTGTTTGTGAAGAGAAGGAAGAGAGAGGTTGGTGAGTGTGGCGTTGCGAGTCAAGTGAGAAATGAAGGACTCCGGGGAGTTCACAGCGCAGCAACAACGGAGGTGAACGGGCCAAGCCAGACACTCATTGGACCACCATAGTGAAACATAATGTGACAAGAGGAAGTGTGAAGAGAGGGATCGGTGGGAGTGTGGAGGATTGACTAAGGGTGAAAGGTGGTCCCAAGGACAGGAAACAGTGGACAAAAGAGCAAAGTGATGGCACTTATCTAGAGGGTTGGGCATGCATGATGATCCCAATCAAATGATTTGTGAAGAGAGAATCGTGATGGAGAGAAAAGCTCGAGGGCAGAGAGTGGAGAGTGAGATGGAGGGACGACTGGCGATTGGCAAGAAGGCGAGAGGATGACGGTGGAAGCAGTGAGAGTGGACAACGCAAGTGAGCATTGTCGGTGCTGTGTAGGGGGTAGGAAAAAGGGGGGAGGGAGGGAGGGAGGGAGGGAGGGAGGGAGGGAGGGAGGGAGGGAGGGAGGGCGGCAGCGGCAAGGGCACCTGAGGCAGCCTTCAAAGAAGCGGGCCTTGGTGTCGCCCACGGGCTTCAGCACGGGGTTGATGATCACCTGCAGCATTGGCGCGCAGTGCAGCAGCAAGAGGTGGGCAGACGGTGGGGATAGTAATGCCACAGTGCCAAGAAGAGGAGTGAATGCACAGTGGTATCGAGAGGCGGCAATGCAACCCGACACAGGCAGGCAGACTTGATCAATGCAAAGAGAGACAGACATCTGAGGGGAGTGGAATGGGCAGCAAAGAATGGCCCATTCGTTTTATTCTATGTTGCTTCAATGCCCTCTCGTTGACTCCGTTAAAAGTGAAGCATCGAATATCTCATGCGAAGGCAGTCAGTCGTTCGCTTATTCCATTCGCCGTCCTGTTTATGCAACCCCCCATTCTGTTTCTTCACTGACTCAATACCCGCCCACTCGCTCATCCAGTCACCCGTGCACCCGTGCACTCGGCGCATACCAGCAGGTTGAAGGGCTGGCGCTCCTGCAGCTTCACTTCCTCGGGGTCGCACGCCTTCATCAGCTCCATCGTGTCCTCCAACACTATGATCTGCGCGCGCACACATACACGCACACACTCACACGCGGTCAGCGCACGGATCAGCGGGAAAAAGGGACTGTGGGCGGTGGGAGGAGACGCGAGTTTGGGCGCGCCCACCAATAGCCCAGGGAGCTTGAATGTTCTTTAGGAATGCCGTACCTCACTGCCATAGCTGACGGCCCATACCTGCAGTGCCCGTACCTGCAGTGCCCGTACCTGCAGTGCCCGTACCTGCAGTGCCCGTACCTGCAGAGGGTGGCCGATTTGGTTGGCCGCGAGGCCGACACCTGGCGCGGCGCGCATGACTGCCACCATGTCGTTAATGATCTTCTCTATCTCCGGGCTGCCAATGTCCTGATGCCACGTGGCACGGAGGTGGATTAATGAACGGGTTGGATAGCAGGAGCCAACGGGCAAGGAAAATCGTCAATAGTGAAGCAGGGGATGTCTCGACCTCCACGCTGGGAACGTCGGCATTGTCACGCGGCCGGTGGAAGGAGTGCTTACAACCAACGGCTCGAATGCTGTGACGGTTATTCATACCAAGAACGTGCTTTTCCAGGTCTGCCCTTTATATTCGAAATCTTGATGCCACATTGTAACAGGTTGGAAATGAGACCAGCCTCGACGACGCAAATCTACGAGGCACACAGGCAGGCGCTTGAGGCTCATGATTTCACAGGCACTCACCCCCCCCTTCCCCCCGCATCATTCATCCACAAGGGCACTCCGCACCACTCACTCACGGCGAGCCGCACTCACGGAGAGCGGCACTCACGGTGGCGGGCACGGGGCGCGCGGGCTCGTGCAGCACGGGGTCGCCCGCCTCCACCACGTCGGGCAGCGCCGGCTTGCCGAAGTTGAAGAACGCGCGCGCCGCCACGCCTTGGGAGTCTCCCAGCGACTCGCCGCGCGACGGCGGCGTGCCGGCTACGCGCGAGGTGGGCGTGGAGGAGAACTGCGACACGTCGCGCAGGTGCGGCGCGAAGTCCATATTTTCTGTCGACGACACCCGCACCATGCGCGCCGCGCCGCTCGCTGGCGGGCAGCTGATTGGCTGCGATGCTGTCGCCATGACGACGCGATGTGGAAAGAGACTCGTTCGGCCTCGTACCAGTTGCTGTAAAGGAGAATGCCCTAAAGGTAATGTGCGATGAAATGGAGATGCTGAGAGGCAATTTGATGCTAGGGAACGAGAGCACGCGTTCATTTCAAGAAGCCGAACAACACAAACTATAATGTGTAGCGTGGCGGCTCACTGAATCGACTGGCAGCAATGTGTTGAGCAAGCAGGCAAATAGGAGACAAACAGACTTGCGATGGTCTCGTGAGAGGAATCTAGATTCTAGATGCACCACCCTATGCCAGGCTGTGGTTGGAAATCCGTGACTAGTGAATTGCCCTACCTTGATCCGTTTGCTGCCTCACACGCCATGCCATCCGAGCTGGAGTGGGGACCACTAACGAAGGAAGGCTCGATTCGCTGATGACGTGGTGCGGGAATCTTTCCCCTTTGCTCCAAGCCTCCAACCATGTGCAAGACGCTCCAATTGGAGAGCACAATGTGGATCGCACTCCTGCTTGCGTTGATGATTTGGCAGGTTTGTCGTTGTCCAGCGGAACTGTCACACGTCATTTTCGTTCGTTCACAACTTAGTAAGGTGCGGTCTGGTGGGCGATGGTGAACACCAGTGAACAACCTTTCTGAACCTAGCTAAACTAGAGAAGGAAGGGTACATAATGGGTTGTTTGGGTTGGTTACATTGCTAAAAACAAGTTACCCTACTTGGTTAGAAGTAACACTCGCTACCCTGGGAGAACGCCTTTCGACAGTGAATCTCAATTGACTTGTGCACCCAAAACCAAAACTGAAGCGATGACCCCCCTCCCCCCTTCATCCCCCCCCCCTCCCCCCCTTCTTTTCCCCCCATCTTTTCCCCCTCCCTCCCACCACCACAACGTCCGCCTTCCCATCCACATACCCGCCTCCATCCTTCCTGTTGATATAACCAAGGAATCGAGGTGGATAGGAAAAAGCTGGCCAAGTGAATCTTGATACAATCTGAATCCTCTTATAGGATCGTCTCAGGTTGATCGCACGGAGTGTAGTAGCGGAAGATTGCTTAGTGATGTCGGGTACGGACTCTGTCAGAAGAGGGAGATTTGAATCTCGACAGAAGTGACTAATACAATGCGGTACAAGGGTTTACATAGGAATACAGTGGAATACGAAAGGTCCTAGCTAGCCATGTACTCTGAGGGGGTACATTCCCTTTAGGGCTAATCTAGATGCAGGATTGCAACCGTGCGGTTCGGTAACCGTACGCGGTTCGGTAACCGTTTGAAGTTCTCCCGCGCTTTGCACTTCGAATTCTTCCTGCTT